TGTGGATTGGATGAGTAAGTTCCGTTTCCATGGCCTTTGCGATCACCAGATTAACTTATCTTGATCTTTATTTCTGGGGATGGAAGGACATCGTGTTTCAGACTCAACCTATAGTCAACGCCAAACAAAGTGGCGTGCACGTCATCACGATAAAAATTCCCCGACCTAATGCCTAGGTTTCTATCACAAACAATTGCTCTATTGCAGTTTCATATTAATGTGATATATAAATTGTAAAATGGTCATTACTCTCTTATTATGGTTAATAGTCATATAAACATTGTTATTAAAATATCACATAAGTTGCTTTCTGATAAATTTAGACGCATTATGCGAAATAAAATGTTTTGCAAACGCTCCAATCACTTATCGACATGTAAACGCACTAAACCGATTTCGCAGCGTTGACACATTGTCACCTTGAAACTTATTTAAACTGGGAACTGACATTTGTATTAATTTTGACACTGAATCAATTTGTGGCATTTCAAATCTTTATAAATCCTTTGGCCCCGCATACTGTAAATCAACAACTGTTTGTTTCAAAACAAAATTATTCATTTTACGAGTAGATAAAGGCAATTTTGGTATATAAAGATGCCCAAACAGTTAAATAGTCGGTGTAAGGAACTTGTGGCCTCGTTAATGCACTACTTTGAGCAAGAAAGGGACAACAACGGGCCTTTGTTGCCTTTAAATGCTGTTCAAGAGGTAGGTTACTAATAATTATATGTAATGTATATTAATAATAGTGAAATTTTATTTTATTTTTTGTAGCGTGTTGCTGCTGCTTTAAAAATTAGTTTAAGGACAGTTAATCGTATTTCCGAGGGTGTGAAAAGTGATGCAAATACGCAATACGCATTTAAACAAAAAAATATGCCTTTTGTATTAATATTACTTACTTACTTTTTACCGATATTTTGTAATAATTTCAACAAGGGTGATTTTATTTTGATGAATATAAAGAACTCCAGAACAACTCTAAAAAAATAAAATTATAAGGGATTTCTCCTTAGAAAATTTGCTTTGGCCTATACTTTAGGTTAGGAACAAGATATTGAGATGTGGTTTTCGCGAGCTTGTTTAGACATCATTTACCTACTTTTTCATAAAAAAAAAACATACCGATGCATTCAATTTTTTTAGAAAATTCCACTAGCCCAAGTTTGTTAAAATCGGCTCAGCCGTATCGAAGATACATGGTGTTTTTTTACGGAAACCTTAGAATACCCCACACAAAAAATTCACATTATCCTCGACTTTAAAGATCAGGTATTTAGGTTAGGTTAATATAGCGGAATTCACAGAAACAAAATAATATTTACGCCCCCTAGCAGCCATTTCAGCAACTTGAAAATGTTTTCCATGTTGGCCGTTTTAGTAATAACTGTTTTGCCTCTACGATGGTTACAGATACAGTACCTCGCATTCTTAGTTGGCCACCCTGTACAGTCGTTTAACTTTTTAAAGTCAAACTTATCAGCAATTCCGTTTTTCCTTCTATAACTTTTTTATCTTCTGTCCAAATTAATTTTTTTTAGATTTTTTTTACAGAAATCTATTCACGTCATTTTGTTTTTTGAATGAGGCGTATGAAAAAGAAAACTATTTCTCTAATTTTAGAATATGCTATAAAATAATTCCAATTGCAATACAGTTGAAATTAACTAAATTGTGAGAATAGTGTTGAGATTAAGAAGTTATGACATTCTAGATTTGGTTGAAATTTTGTAATTATTAAAAGTAAGTTAGACTGATTACTATAAGTCTATTTTTTTGTTTGGGACATACTTTCTAACTCAAATAGAAGGCGGATTTTAGAATATCGAAATTATTGTAGTATCAAACTGATGCTTCAAAAAAAAATCTTAGCCCTGGGTAAACAACTATTTTCAATTTGACACTTGAGGCTTCCACTGGTTACTTGTATCTCCATAGACGAGCCTCAAAGTACAGGGTGTCCCATAATTCCGTGGACATAGAAGTACCACATATTTTAAGACTCATAATAAGCCGATGCATGATTTATCATCTATGCAAAAGTGTTTGTCCGCGGAAGGGCGTCAAATTATTTTAAAACACATTTTTCAAATCATGTGAAGAACCGAAAGTCCGATTTGAACTAGATTTGAAACACATGTGTTTTACTAAACGCTCTAATATTTTACTTTTAGGAAAAACTGGAAAGGTTTCCAGAATGGTGAAAACATAAATTATAGCATTTTTTTTATTTAGCAGATTGTTTATTTCATTTTCTGTCTGCTATAAAAACAGCCCATCTACGATAGTCTTCGAGAAAAAAAATGAGCTGCATGAAGATGTTCCCAAGCGTCTTATTGGTCATAATGTTGTTAGTGAAACTAAACAAATATGATACCAAGGTGGGTCATTAAGGCCCGTATCGTCAGTCGTCCCTATAATTGTAGGGCGCGTTTATGGCCTCCTTGATTGTCATAGTTTTCTACTTATCCGTGTCAGAACTCTATTTTGAGGTTATGTCACAAACATCTATTTGCATCAAATTGTGCTTTCTTTTGAGTTATATCATGTTTTATCAGCCTGAAATTTCCTACAATTTAAAAAGAAGACATATCTTCACAATAGGAGAGCGCTGACGCTGACACGGGACAAGTGTAATCTAGAAATTTTTGAAGGAGAGAAAGGAGGATGACAATCAAGGAGGCCATAAACGCGCCCTACAATTGTAGGGACGACTGACGATACGGGCCTAAGTGAGCTGATTTTAAAAAATCATAGAAAAAACTACAAAGACTAGGGAAGATAATATATATTTTTAATAAAGTGGATACACGAGAATTTTATTTTTTAAAATAATATCATTGAGATGTGACCCTTTTTTAGAAACCAGCTACGAAAAACACTTGTTTTCTCGAAAACTACGCGAGATGCGCTGCTTTTATAAGAGACAAAAAGTTAAACTGAAATCAGAGACGCGAAATAAATCTGCTATAATTTATGTAGGGATTGAAGGTAGTTTTCACCCTTCACGAACTCTTTCAGGTTTTTGTAATAGTCAAATCGGATTATTGGTTTCAGAAATATCTGAAAAATATGTTTTAAAATGAAAACGTTGACGCCCTCTAACGGGCAAAAAATCATGTTGAATCGACTAATTTTGAGTCTAAAAATAAATGGTACTTCTATATCCACGGAATACTGGGACACACTATATACCAATTAGAATCTAAATTGGAATTGGATGGACTGAATTGGAATTCTAAATCTACTGCCAGATTCAGTGGAACGAGTTTTTAATTTGATTTATGAATCTTCATATTAGTGTCAACAATTGTTACATGTAATTGTTCTGAAGATTCACGAACTTCATCCATCCATTGAATTTTCGATATGATAAATACAATGGCAAGTCTGAAATTCTAAATCAGATATGCTGCATATTATTATGGAGACATATGGAAATATCTTCATAGAAATTAAATATTAATCAGCATAGTTCTACAATTTGGCGAAACTTATAAAACAGATTGTTAGAGAATACAAAAAATGGTTGAATGGATGTAGTTAATGATCATTACGTATTTGACGGCTAAAACCAGAAATGCAGTGACAACTAGGTTTAGCTGGTTAGAACTGCCCCTGGCAGTTGGTTAGTCTTAGGTGTAACCTATACATTTATGGCCAAACCTAGTATCAGCCAGTTGCATTCGGTTAAAACCAGGTACAGCCAACTTGATCCCAGCTACACCTAGGTCTAGTAAATCCTTAGTGGTTAAAACTAGATGTAAACGTTACAAGCAGGTTTAGACAGTTATTTTTAAAGAAAATAATATGTAATCATTTTCATATTATTTATTTCAGCAATAAATTTCTTGAATATAACTTAGCGTTACCTTGGCATTGTCATTACAGTCAAGTAACTGAACTTTAGAATATCAAAATTTTGGATGAAGGTATAACAGGTTAAACATAATTTTTTGACGTAACTGTAAATGAACTTTACAATTTTCAAATATCTAATGCCGGTACAACTGTGTAACAGTTCAACAATCATTTTTTGTGGTAAGTGTAACTGAACTTTACAATTTTTAAACATTTCGTGCGGGTATTACAATTTAATTAACACATTTGTATAATTTTATTTAAACATTCATTAGACCAAGTAAGTTTTAAAAAAGTAAACAGTTAACATACCCAATCATATGAAAAAAGTTGGGACAATGGGTTATCTACTTATTTGACCAACTTAAACTTGAATGACATTTAGAGTTACACAAAATACCAGCAGCTTTACAAAGACACCTTCTACTTTCACATTTGGTTTTACAATGGCATCTTTTATAGCCTTGTCCACCAGATGAAGATTGATTGGGAATTGGCTAAAAAAATCGGGTTCTGTGCCAAACTGGTTGCCCAACTTATATAAACCATCCTCGGTACATTCAAGGACCACCATTAAAACATATGACAATGCTAAGCTATGACTAAGTTATGTTGAAGAAATTTATTGCTGAAATAAATAATATGAAAATGACATATTTTATTTAAAAATACCCGTTTAAGCCTGCTTGTAATGTTTACATCTAGTTTCAACCACTAAGGACTGGCTAGACTTAGGTGTAGCTGGGATCAAGTTGTTTGGACCTAGTTTTAACCAAATGCAACTGGCAATACTAGGTTTGGCCATAAATGTATAGGTTACACCTAAGACTAACCAACTGCCAGTGGCTACACCTTAGCTGCAACATATGTATATACTTGGATTGCAAATGAGTATTGATTATAACTGTATCTGTGAACTGGTCTGTGATGTGCAACAGTCGACAAACTTATTGGGTTGATAGAACCATAAATGAGGTATTTTTTAAATGGTTATAAAAAAGTCGCCATCTTAGTATAACAAGACTAAATGCTTGTCCTACTAAATCAGGCATTATCTATCTGGTTATGGTATGTAAAAAGGAGAAGTTGTTGAATACAACTTTTGGACAGCATTTTTTGTAGAGGTTTGCACTTACCAATTTCTTTTCCATTTTTGCTTTAATATCCCTAGCTAATGTGAAAAATGCATCTTCCACCCTGATGCTATTTTTGGCACTTGTTTCGATGAATTTTATTCCATATTCTATGGCAAGTTGTTCACCTCTTTCTTTTGATACTTGCCTTTTATCCTCCAGCTCACATTTATTACCTAATTTCAATAAAAATGTAATATAATAAAATGAAACATAAAAATGAACAGAGGAATTTACTCCTCATATACATTGAATATTATTTTTGAAAATATCCACATATTTCAGGAGATACTTTTTTCAAGGCAACAACATATTTTACCATTCTCTATATTTAAAAAAAGATCAGATTGCCCTCTGCAAGCATTTTGGATGGATTTTCAGGTGCTATACGCGAATTTTGTTGTTTATGATACTCATTACAGGTAGAATTACAGAAATTTTGAGAAAAGAATTATAAATTGTTATTATGTGAGCAGCTGAAAATACAAAATTTAAATCAACTCCCTGTCCAATATATTTTATTTGAGCAGCTGCATCTCCAGGATGTGCCCCTTACCAATAATGTGGTGTTTGTATCTGACACGTGAATGCCTCTCAAGTTGACATTGGTTGTAAAATAATGATGTTGATTTCACAAATATCAAACAGAAGTTAAAAATTTTCCAAACACTATGTATTTATATAAATTGTACAAACCACTTAACCACTTTAAAATTTGAAAACCAAAGATACCAAACAACAAGATTATGTGCTGAATGGATGAGAAATTTGACATCTCTGGCATTACAAAAGATGTTGGCATCTGACAACCCTGGTCCTCCATCATCATTTAGGATGAAGATGGTAGGTAGAGATTATCAGATTTTTCACTTACACAGTAAAAATATAGCCCATGTGAAAGTGCCATAATGTTTTAGCTTTCAAATATCATGTGCTAATGCATGACTGTCTTTACTTCCACTTTATCTTGGGTTTTTGGGGTTTTATGGTATTTAAATAGTATTATTACCTAATAACATTTTTTCAACATCTGCTGATGCATTTTCTTCAATATTCCTAATCCAGTTTTTGATATTTTCAAAGCTTTTCTCATTGGTTATGTCATAAACTAGCATAATCCCCATTGCCCCTCTGTAATAAGCCGTTGTAATTGTCCTGAATCTTTCTTGACCTGCTGTGTCCCTTTTATGGAAAGAAAAGCATTAATATCATAAATATACTTTGTGTCAGAATAACATATCAATCTCTCATATAGACAATATATAGAACAAAAAAAAAATGCCACAAATATTATAATGGCATAAAAACTAGCTTTTATGGAAAGCTTAATAATAATAATAAATGTCTTTATTCGCCAAACATCAACCAATAAACATACATTAATTTGTATAAAAAAAAGAGTTTGGAGAAAGGCGAACTTAAGATGTCCACCACTGATGTGACACACATCTGTTCTTCCATTTAACCCTTTATCTTTAAACTAAAATGTACATACTTTTGTTTGACATTGATAGAACACTTGTCACCACAGTTCCATTAATGCTGGCACAGGATACAATATACTGGTTACATTTTGTGAATATAGTAATTCTGATAACAAGTTAATAATTAGCAACTCAAATAACCCTAGGATATAAATTTTCAGATACCTTTGGAAAGTACATGTAATGTAAATGGCTCAATTTAACATAAAACAAGTTTGACATTTTGTTAGCATAAAAAGGAAAACAATAAGGCTTGATAGAAAAATTCCCCAGGACTATGGATTAGTTTAGGATGTCCCTTAACATTCGATTTGAAGCACAACTCTATCATAGTTAGGTTTACAAATATATATCATTGGATACATACTTTCATGTCCTCATTATAACATAAATGAATACTCTTTCAAGACAGATTGTGATAAAGTAGAGTTATAGAAAAATGTTTAGTTATTAGGTTTTCCAAAAATATTATTTTTAGACCATTATTATATAAGGTATTACAAATGTCAGCAATGTAGCATTAAGGCTCATCTGCCCCTGGTGATCTAATGAGTTAGTTGTTTTTCATGGACACCATAAGTAAAGTTCCAAATGGTTATTGAGCTGTCAAAATATCATTGAATTACAACAGTGTCATTGAAAGTTATTTGAGAAAAACTTATTTCCAGTAGTCAGACCATTCCTTAGGGTCTTGTAACTCTGTAGATGTGACCGATAGGACATTTTGTTTATAGGAACTTGTGGCATTCCTCATTTTTTGAGTTCTATATGTAACAAAAGACATGTTATTCTGGAACCCGGAATACTGAGAGAAAAATATTACCATATTTGTAGCTTGATTTTCTTTCCATCCAAATCTATTGTTCTTATTTTAAAATCAATGCCTGAAATAACAGAATTTGATGAACAACCCTGTACTATAAATAGGTATTTGGATTTTGTAATCAATCAAAATAACGATTGTTTACAAGGTTAATAAAAAAGTATATTTATTAGTCATCACATTCCACAAAGACACCAGTTTCTTAATTACATGGAATTCTATTCAAAACGAAGTAACTCATTACGGTATCAAAATAATTTGGAGACGTTTAAATAGGTGTGGTAAAAGTTAAAATGCACATCGGAAGTGAGCCTTGTTCTTTGTTTAGGTGGAATTCGTCTTTACATCATATTGAAGGTCCACTGGTCCAGTGTATTGCTAGAAACTAAATTCACTTTTTGACTCACCTATCGTCGATATGAAAGTCGTATTGAATGCATCTTCCGAAAAACGAAATAACACACACGTTTTTCCTACGCCTGAATCACCGATGAGTAACAATTTGAATAGATAATCGTACGTTTTTGCCATATTCTCGCTAAAACACTACAGTTTTTGTTTGGACACTGCACTGTACAATTGTAGATCCAGGTAGAATTCCTATTTTTTACGCTTTAAAATGAATAATAATGAAATATAACCAAATAGCAAAATCCAGAGCCAAAGTCCCTAGGTCTTACGTGTACAAATATTATTACCCCATGTATTACTGGTTGCAGACACAAAATATATGCACCGAAGAAGCTACGGTCCCGTGCTATCATAGGGCAACACATTTGAATTGTGTCAATGTCAAGCCTCTACTTTTTTTGATGCAAAATGGCTGCCAAACTGTACATGAAGCCTCACGCAACGTTGTCAGCTCTTCGCATATATCTGAGGCTGCTGTAATTTTATAGTGCGATTTCTATTATGTGGAAGATTTTATAATACCACGTGTCTTAACATGTTTTGCTATTTTTCACACATAAGTACTCACGCTACGCAGTGACCGCGGTGTGTACCAACTCACTTCACCGTCGACATTTTTGACTTCACCCTCACTCCAAGAATTTAACCTCCTATGTCTAGTCTTCATGGTTCAGACAGTGGCACTGATTCAATGAGTTCAAATTTTAGTAACCTTACTGCGTGTCACCAATATAGTTTTAAAAAAAAATTAAAAGGTAGATTGACTCTATGTATACTTCGAGCACGCCCTTGAAACGGTTTGTAGAGCTATTTTCAATGTACCTCATGTATGCAAATGAATTCTGATGTGAAATTACATGCCCGACATGCATCTACTGTCAAAAAATGGTAGTTGATGTTTGGATTCACAAACTTTGCCAACAAATAACTTGTGAGGCCATGGAAAAGTTGTTTTTAAGATATCCTAAAAGTTGACTTGAATCTTTCGTTTAAAAAAAACATGATTGCCTCGTATTCTGGGTGTTCGTGTATTTAATGAACATCCCTATTTGTATTTTTCTTGTTGAGAGCAACTGTACGGGGAAATCTATGATGTGCACATTGCAAGTTTCTTCATAGAAACAATGAAAATCACATGTTTTCTTCACACCTGGCGATGAACCTTGGTGGATGCCCCCCTCAACTCCAGATATAGCCAAGGAAAAAGTGGACTCAGATTGTTACTATAGTTGAGATGGTTAAAAAACGTTTGCGTCTGCCACCTCTGCCATGCGAGAAGCTTTTTTCGAAGGCCGAACAAACAGTTTTGTCAGCAGAGATAGACTAGAAGTCGATAAAGTTGAAAAAATCATGTTTTTAACTGGACATTTGTAGTTAATTTACATTTTTACTTTAGTATTGTTTTAATTTCTTCATGAGCCGCAATAGGTGATCTTTTTTTATCAAAGTTTTTAATTTTTTCAGCCTCTATATTTAACACCATTTATCATCTTTTTCATAACTTCCAGGCAACCAGTTACACAACCTCTTCTGCTCACTGTTATGTTCCGCCTCCTTTCTCGTTCTCGTTCCGTCAATTACAACTAATTCAATTGGATCATCGGGATTCTGGTATTACCAGTCGTTCGTAGTGAACGAGTTTTTCAAGGAATGATGAACTAGTTCACTTAGTTCAACTATAAGAATCGTTCGACTGAACGAGCTCGTCCCCGAACTACACACCACTAATCGTATATCTTCATTCCTTTTAGAGCCGTATCGTCAGTCGTTCCTACAATTGTAGGACGCATTTATGTCCTCTTTGATGTTCATAGTTTTCTACTATTCCGTGTCATAGGAGGGCGCTGACACGGAACAGTAGAAATCTAGAAATATCCCAGCCTTTCTGAAGGAGAGAAACGACTATGAAAATCAAGGAGGTCATAAAGGCGTCCTTCAATTGTAGAAACTACTGACAATACGGTCCTAAGCGCAACCGTAAGTGGAGGTCACAGATTTTCACAATGAGTTTCACACACACTCGCGGACAAAAAATGAATCTGGTACTATATTACAGTAAGACCACAAGTGCAGAAGCTGTCTTTGCGAAATTTGTCGTTAAACCCTATTTAACGAGTATCAATCACGCTTTGACGTCTACTGAGGTGAACAGCTGATCAGCAAGTGACATTTTTGTGTTAGTCTGCAACGTTGGCAATAATGAATCGGGTATAAATCTAGTAAGACTTGTTTGTGGCGTTTTGTATTTTGAATGCAAATTAACTTTTCTGAATAAAATAGTTGTTAGCAAGTACAAAATGAATCTGTAACGTACAAAAAACCGAAACAAAATACGACTGTAACTACCTGACGTTGACGGATCCGTCAGAATTATGTGTCCTGTGTCTATAGGGGAATTTTGAGGTATTACTAAATAACCAGCTGTCATTCTACCGTGATGGATACTCGTAAATAGGGTATACGTACCTGGTACACTCAGGTACAAGTTGGCAAGGTTAAATGACATATGGCTTTTGGCTGACAATCAGCAAACTGATAGTCGGAGACAAGTCATGACCTAGCTCTTTATTCAGTTAGCTGTCACCCACGCGTCACTGACTACATTATAGATTGCGTATAGTTGTAGTCACCGTTCTTGGCGGGTCAGAGTAAGACTACCAGTATCCCTTTATATATATTCATCTCCCTCTTACATACACATGTAACCTATCCCTGTGTGTGAAAGTTTGTTCGGTAAGCTCAAAGACATACGTTTTTTAGTTGTGAGTATCCGTCTCGGAAACTTTGTCGTTATGTATGAGTGCATTTCAATCATATTTGTCAGAGTGACAATTTACTTGACATCGGCGTGAAATTTGAGTTGTCCTGTTATCAGTCTTCAATATAAAATTGTACAATGCCCGGAAATACGAGCAATGGAGAAGGCTGGCAGCTTGTGTTAAATTTATTAGAGTATTTCCAGGAAGAGAATGAAATCAGCGGTCCTCTGTTACGCGCTTCATACGTAATATAATATACTAGGAAAAGATCCGCCCATGGTACGGAGACTCGATCTGTCTACTTATTTCATATGGCGTTGATGACGTAACCGCTGAGAACGGTGAGTACAGCTATACCTAAGAACGTAAAAACGCCCTGTAAGAAGGGTTTTGACAACATTGTCACATTTGCGAGCTATAGGTTTTCTGAGATTTCTTGGTGAGAAAGAGTTGTAAAAAGATGGAAGTTGAACCGGGAGGATCAACAGACGACGCAGTTGCACATATTAAGAGGAAAGAGCTGTGCGGTGGCTGAAACCAAGCAGAAGCAGAAAACATGCGCACTGACGCAGATGTCATCGGAGAAGAAAACGATCGAAAAACTGATGCTGATTATAGACGACCAGGCGAGGCAGAATCGAGACCTAATGGAGACCATCAAGGACCAGACAGCCAAAATTGACAGCCTGACGGTCCATGTAACAATTTTGGTAAATTCAAAAGAATCCCCTAAAGAACGGACAATCACCCTAAAAAGAACACTGTGAAACGTTACTCATGATCATTTTACATCCACAGACGAATACGTACAGACCGACGGATTTGTAAAAGCAAAATCAAGAAGGAGGAAAGGCGACAAGGCTGATCGATCTACCCAAGACTTTCCTCCTCTTCCGAATACAGGATCAATTCCATTTCACACCTCCCCCACTTCATCAAATCGAAGCACCATTAATGTCTCTACTACCAAATCAGGGACCACGTTATCTACCTGTCAGGTGACTCCGTCAGCAGATGTTACTTCTCCTCCGTCATCTCGTCCAACCGTCGTGCCATTAACACAACCCTCACGACAATGGCGCATAACCCCTATCGTCTTACTCGACGTGACGAGATGTCGTACTTTGAATTTCAAGTTTATTTCCCTAGGTATTAAAATCGATCGCGCGGTTGCCGTCGATGCGGGAATAAGGATTCTTCCTAAATCCGAGGACGACTACCGCAAGATCGTTCGCCTGTTCCGAGAGGAAGAAGTGCGCCATCACACTTTTCCTCTCCCTTCGGAACGGAACATCAATGCGGTGGTTCGAGGAGTTCCCGTTAATTTTTCGGATACTGAGATTAAGGGAGAACTTGAGCAAAGGGGATATAGCCCTCTCCACATCATTCGATTGGAGCGCAGCGGCGGCGCACCCATGCCTTTGGTGGCAGTGATACTACCCAAGACCAACAAGCCTCAGCAAGTATTCAACGAACACGAACTGCTGGGACTGGCCATTCGAGTTGAGGTTCAGAAGAACTCCAGACTCATTGGGCAGTGTCACCGCTGCCAAAAGTACGGGCATGCGCAGTCATATTGCACTGCACCGCCCAAATGCTTAAAATGTGCAAAGGACCACATGACGCATTTGTGCCCCCTCACAGAAGAGGAAGAGAGCAAGTGCGTGAAATGTGGAGAGGGACATCCTGCAAATAGCCGGACTTGCAAGTTCACTCCAAAGAGGAACTTGCAAGTCATTGCATCTATCCATACGCGGACGCAGCTAGGGAGGCAGCCTTGCCAGCCCCCTCTGCCCAACCTCGCTTGAGCACGCAAAATGTGGACCTGGCAACCGCGCTAAGGTCCTTACAACAAAAAATAAGCCCACTGATTAGCGCTACCCAAACGTTGCAGGCGATATTTCCTGTAAATCCCTCGGTACAATAGTAGACAGCCTGCATTCATCAAAATTCTTTTTTGGAATTATTTTGGCATGAGGGATATTCCAAAAAAACGGGAATTTCATCAAGCTCTTTTTGATGAAGGTACAGATGTGGCCTTGCTACAGGAAACGTTTCTCAATCCGGGAGATCGTTTAGCACTCCCGAATTGGGATGGTATCCGAGGTGACAGATTGAATGGTCGAGATGGCGGTTTAGCAGTGTTGATTAAACGCGGTATAGACTATTATAGAAGCACTAATGCGGAGATGCATAGCATCGAAGCAGCTTCTGTGGTGATCAATATGGCGGGAGGTGTCTCGTTGAAGATCACATCGGTGTATGTCAAGTGTGGTGCCAGGCTACAAGAGGCGGATCTGGGGGTCCTTTTGGACTACTCGGGTCCGCTTATTGTGGCAGGGGACTTCAACTGCATACATCAAGCATGGAATTCTAAGTTGAATTCCACTGGTTGCATGTGATGCGAATTGGGTACCTTATACATAGTACTGAAGAGCCGACACCATCATCCATTCAACCATCTTCAGGTACGAGATGTCATCGACTTCGCGATATCTAAAAACTGTAGATACAGTATCTCTTTTTGAATCTTATATGATATCTCTAGTGACCATCTACCTGTTGTCTTGGATGTGGGCAATGA